ACATGTTTCAAAATGTTCAGATGTAATTAAAAATTAATCCCTAAAATCTCCTTAAGTTAAAGTCCAAAGGCTAGATCTAAGGTGAACAGTTTTTTGGTAATGCGACACAATTCAATCCAAAAACAAAACAAAGTGCGACTCGCTATCCGTGTGTATTGTTCTTCAAAATACATCAGAAAATACTTTGTGGAAGTATTCACCAATGATAACAACGGCTCTCGGATATAAAAAAAAAAAAAAAAATCACGTATCATCTTTAAACATGATACTATTCCTTATTTATTTTTCTGTCTGATTAACAAATGCGCTATAACAACCACACGTTTGTATCCAGTAGCTGAGGTTTCTATGTCAGATTATTATGTGTGAGCATAAACTAATCAGATGTCTTGGTTTGCTAAAAGCAATATAACTTGTAATCTTTTCAGCATTCCAAACCATCGTTTAAACAAGCAGCCTCTTATCTAAACACTAAGCATAAGGTTTCTACACCACCGGGGAACACTCTGCACAACTATGCTGAAAAATTCAATTGCATCATTCCTTCAGAGTTCTCGAACAGTCTGAGACAAGCATGCTCTCAAGGTCTGTCAATAATGGCAAGAGCAAAACTCAGTGATGCTTTCCTCCTGCAGCTGTAGTCAGTGGTCCAGCGGTCCAAAAAAGCTAGCAAACGCGCCCTGGTCAGTTGCTTCAAGAACGTCTCTCTGGCATTGCGCATGAAACTCTTGATCGAGCTGCAGTATAATCAGCAGACACACGATTGTCCTCTGCCCCCACAGCAGACAATCCCCAACAAACTTACAGTTCCTCTTCACGACCACTGTTTGCCTTGACACGAGCACAAACAAAATGTCAAAACCTCCTTCAGAAGATGCGTTCTTCTGTACAGTTCTTCTTTTCTATAGTGAGCAACTCGTCACCAACATACGATTCAGAGAACCCAAAAAGCGTGCCACAACTACCAATGCTCCGAATCACAGCCAATCAATCTACTAGAGAAACACTCAATTGAAATCTCTCCCCAGACGGTTACAAAATGAAAGGCCGGCTGAATGTCTATTATGTCAGGAATGCCGAAACATGTGAACGTAAATAAAACGGGATAGTTTACCCAGAATTCTCTTACTTCACGAAAAATAGTAAAAACTACACTTTAAAATCTCTTTCTAGTTGAATTCTCGCCCTTTGAAGTAGTCAGGAAAATAAAAATAACACTCTCCTCTTGAAGAATTCTTCTGAAGATTGAAAACCCAAAGGTATTTAATTCTCCACCGTGATCCATTTCTACATCAAAGTCATAATAAAACTGATGATTTATTTTCAAAAAACATGGAAGGATGACACTTTCTCATAAAACTCCTATTCTCTTTACTCCAGTACTAAGGTCGGATGAGCAACCAACAAGGAAACTCTCCCTAACCACTATAAATTCATTGTTTAATCTCTTGCTTAATCTATTCATTTTCAAAATTGTTTATCTAAGTTGTGTTTATAAGGCATGGTGAGGTTGTAACAGAATACACAAAATAACCGTTATTTCAAATCCGCGGCGTATTTGAAAAACTGCTATATGAAATTACAAATCAATGTTAAACGACGTATATAAGTAAACTATAATATTGTTGTAAAGCTTAATTGACTGTTTATTGTGAAGGCATCTCTGGTGAACAGCCGGCCTGTGGCTTTTATTTTGAAGAGGTTCCGTTCCGGAAACATACTCCGAATAGATATGAACAGTGAGTTTGACTTCTAGAACACGGAAAGTTGTACAAATACCCCAACTCGTTCTAAGCCATTAAATAATCCAATGAAAGAGACAAGGAGGAGAAAAGGCGTGTGGAAGTAAGCAATGAACTGAAAATGCCACCAATCCTCTGTTTTAACGTGATGGCGGACATTGAAAACCGAAGCGGGCATACAGCACCCCTGTCGTACATACACATTAATAGATTCCTTCTGACTGTAAAGCGTTCAAAAACCCTTCTGCTTATCACTTACTACTTTTAGTTTTATTCATAACCTAAAAATACAACTGTGATGAATAGCTTGCATTTTCCTACTTTAAACAACCATCAAAAGAGAGTCACTATTGTATGATAAATACTACTCCCAAATAACATTTATAATATATAGCCTATATATTTCTTACAGTGATTTCGTTATTTCATGTCTAACAAATTCTCCATCCATTGTGACTTCGTATCTATTTATCTGACTAAGGCTGTTCTTTGTTCAATAATATATTCTATTTATTCACAAGCACATAAATATATCCTCCTCACTGTCTGTCCAGCTTTTAAGATGCGATATTTCTTTCAACAGAATGGGAGTTAACCCCAACAGAACAAGAGATAGCGAGAATCCGTTTAATTTCAAATGGCTTTTTGAAGTTTGCGTTTCTCCTCTTTGAGCGTTTGATCTGTTATTCAATTTAGTCTTAGATGGAGACTCAATACTCACACCAGACTTGTTCAGCTAGCTGCCGTGCGGAGACTCGATACCCTCAACCAACACTACACTGCTTCACTTTTATATTATATAACTTTCCAAATAGCTGTCGGGACTCGATACCCGACGCTCAAACTAAACTATGTATTGTATATTCCACCGTAACAACTATGACACTGGGAAATGTCTCCGACAACTCTAAAATGTAGCTTAGCCAATTACAGACCTTCGATAGAAACAGGCGTCCGTTTACCTTTCAGTTGAAGGATCCTGGTTTTAGTTGTCAGAGATTATTCCAGGCATCTCCCCCGCTGGCTGCTGGTGTTCCCTCTTAAAAAAAACACTCACTAACGTTGGGTCACCATTTTGTTGGAACAGAGGTCACACTCTGGCGGGGGCTCTGAAGGCCCCCCTTCTGCTCCAGCGCGTCCTTTTGTGAGTGGGTCAAATTAACAGAGGAAGAATTCAAAGCAACCAGGGTAAGGTTATAACAAATATGCTGTTTTAATGGTAAAGTACTACAATACAAGATACAGAGTCCCCTCTAACAGAGCACTCCGGGCTCCCCGCTCTACTGCCGTGCGATACAGATATCGGGACCAGCGAGTCAGAAACAGGGGGCATCGTGCATGAATAAACATCAGTATACATAGACATATTTGGGGGCAGAGTTGTGTCGGCCCCCCCAAATCTCTAATTGGTCGATTTCACTCCTAAGTGAATCAGGGAGTCCGTGGGGAGGAGTTGTTCACTCCCCTAGGTGTTCTTACTGGTTGGATTCACTTCTGGTCGGGTCCAATACAGTGAATCAGAGTTCTGGGAAAAAGTATTTTACTTCTGAACAGAGCGTGAGAGCTTCGGAAGTAAACAAGGACAGAGTAAATTTTTATCTTTGCACCTGCGTTCACTCCTTTTATTTAGAAAAGAATAACAAATTAGAAGGAAACAAATATTTAGAAAAATACAGATTTCAGTATTCTGAGGCTCTGAGCCCCATTTATTTTCCTCGCAGACGACAAAAAAAGTCAGACATTATACGATTTAAAATAAAAACAATAATCGTGGCTTGATATTGAGTAAGAACATGTTTTTATGAACCCCACAGCTTCCGGTCTTCCAAGACCCGAACGGACAAAAAGACGTGCTGCAGGCACGAAACATACTACCAATAGAAATACATTGTTTTTAAAATCGTTCTGTGTGACACGAAAAAAAGGGGGAAATCGTGTTGGTGAACACGAATCAATAGATTAAATGTCGTGACTATAACATGAAATACCGAGAGACTGGGTTGGTTGG